TATTTTTTTTTTTATTTTTTTTATTAGCATAATATGAATTTGAGTCAATCAATGTTTTTGCTAAGTAAAAACAAAAAAAATACTATATAAAATAAAAACAAAAAACACACATAATTCCTCAAAAATGTGAGTCCAATAATGTCAAGAACAGGCAGCAATAATAATTTTGGGGTAAAATAACATGGAAATGTGTCAAAACATTCATCCAAATACACAGTTTTAATCATCAGCATAAAACAAGTTTCATAATTTTGTCAAAAGTGTATAAATAAAAGCACAGGTATGGAAGTTAACTGGCAAATCCAGAGAGGAAAATATAGAAAAGAATGAGAAGAGAAAAGGCAGGAGATGAAGGCCTGTCACATCTATAAAAAAAAATATATGAAAAAAGAAAATGTCTGGAAAAAGTCAGGTTAGGCTAATATTAATGTCAGGTTTTCTTTACCTCCAATGTTTTGAAGAGTGATCGCGATTCCGGCCGCCATCTTCCCCGTGATTCCGAAGGCCCTGAATCCCAGCTGTTCATAAGATCTGATTCCTGGAAACGAATGTCAGTAAAACATGAAGAGAGAGACAAATCTCACCACCGGAGCCAAGTTTCCACAAAACACCGTCTCTCATGTTATGATTATCTTTGCCTGCGGTCACTGCAGTTTAACATGGAAACTCAGTCAGACCTAAAAAGAAAGCTGAATTGTGTTTTCAGAAAGGAAATGCCATCGCAACAATACACTAACAACACCATCAACTGCATTGCAAGAAATGTCACTAAAAACGCTTTAAAAAATGCGTTTATGAATGCGGTGAATAAAATTACTGAAAAAATTATTTTGGTAAACAAAACAATGTGTGTGTGTGTGTGTGTGTGTGTGTGTTGTTTAATTATTTAATATCGAATCAATATTTAATTCTAGAGGAGAAAAATCTGAAGTTTTAACATGTAACATTTAACTACTACCGTAAAAACTATTAAATATAGTTTTAACATGTAAACTAGTAATTAAATTAAATTGGACAGGCCAATTAATCAATACATTTAACTATATATTTTATTATTAGCTAATAGTGGTAACTTCAAATTAATTGGCCTGTCTGATTCATTGTATTACGTTAAAAATCCTTCCTCCAGTGTTACTGTTTTTTCTTCACTATATTTAACCATATATTCAACTATTTAACTAATTCTGTTCAAATTACAATAAAAGAGCCATTCATTCAGTAACTGTGAGTTAACTTTATTGCATCCGTCCACCTGATGAGGACATGACCATACAACACACTGATGGAGAAAATGTGCCTCATCTTACCCACAATACCTGAGGACTT